TGATCTGCATGTTCTGATGGACAGGTTGTTTGACTGCAGACTGACAGCAGGGAAGCGGTGGCTGTGAAGGTGGTCAGTAAGAAAAGTCTCAATAAAACCTCAATGGAAAATCTTCTGACTGAGATTGAGATCCTGAAGACGGTCCGTCATCCTCATATAGTGCAGCTCAAAGACTTCCAGGTACAGATTCCCAGCATTCAGTTCTGTGTGTGTGTGTGTGTTATTGTGCTGATCCATAACTCTCATCCCTGTCTCCATCCGTCAGTGGGACAGTGATAACATCTATCTGATTCTGGAATGGTGTTCGGGAGGAGATTTGTCCAGTTTTATCCGTAGTCGACGGATTCTTCCGGAAAGAGTCGCGCGCCGTTGCCTACAGCAGATTGGTACGAAACAAATGACTGATACAGACTGATTCAGATGAGAAAACAAGAGCCAGTGATGTTGTGTGTGTGTGTGTGTGTGTGTTTCAGCTTGTGCTCTTCAGTTTCTCCATGAGAAGAACATCTCTCATCTGGACCTCAAACCTCAGAACATTCTCCTGAGTGGAAACGTATTAAAGCTCGCAGGTGAAACTCGCATGTGATTTTTATTTCAGCATCTCAGCATAGCATGACTCCAGCGTAACAGTGGGAATGTAAGCCGTCGCATCTGTAGATAGAGAAGAGAAGCGGGCCCAGGACTGAGCCTTGAGGCACACCCGAGCTGCTTCTGGAGCACGACACATGTTTGAGACTCCTTCTGCATGCACAAATCTCACTGCTTTATTACAATTAATTACAAAATGATCGTTTGGGAATGTAAACTGAACACTGGGAACACACTCCCTCAGCCGGACTGAGTGGCGGAAGAGCTGCGGAGTGACTGGAGTCAATAGAGGAAACTGAATAAACGAGTAAAACAAATGATTATCAGTTTAAACTAAAGCTTGGCCTCGATATAGAGTTTCTTACGACTGACCAGAGATCCGGTGATCGTGGATATGGACATGCGGCAGGAGTCGTGTTTCCTCACGTTTATATGAGCCTGATTTCCACACCGGGAAAAACAAAGCAAATTTGCCTGTGAACGCTTTATATAAACACAATATAGGTGTAAATCCATGATGAGCCCGTGTGTGTGTGTGTGTGTGTGTGTGTGTGTGTGCAGACTTTGGTTTTGCGCAGTACATGAGCCCGTGTGTGTGTGTGTGTGTGCAGACTTTGGTTTTGCGCAGTACATGAGCCCGTGTGTGTGTGTGTGTGTGTGTGTGCAGACTTTGGTTTTGCGCAGTACATGAGCCCGTGTGTGTGTGTGTGTGCAGACTTTGGTTTTGCGCAGTACATGAGCCCGTGTGTGTGTGTGTGTGTGTGCAGACTTTGGTTTTGCGCAGTACATGAGCCCGTGGGACGAGCAGCACGCGCTCAGAGGCTCTCCGCTCTACATGGCTCCAGAGATGGTGTGTCGCCGGCACTACGACGCTCGCGTGGATCTGTGGTCCGTCGGGGTCATTCTGTACGGTGAGTCGCTCATCACAGTTCATATCATCAAAGTTACTGTTATTTGCTCCCCAACATTCTTCAAAATATCTTTCCACAAAAATGTAAAATAATGAGAAATGTGATTCCTGATCATCAGATCCTCATATTAGAGTGATTTCTGGAGGATCATGTGACACTGAAGACTGGAGTAATGCTGAAAATTCAGTTTTGATCACAGGAATAAATTACACTTTACTATATATTAGGGATGCACGATATATCGATATCGGCTGATATTAATTTTTAATGTTATCGTTATCGGGCCGATAAGAAAATTTAGCCGATATATTAAAGCTGATAAATAATGTTCAATAATGTTCACTGTTCAACATGATGGTTTGAAATGCTTGAAATATGATTGAAATCACTTCAAAAAGGAAAATCTAGTTCAGTGCGACACGAGTCTGTCATATCGGCTACATAAAAATAAAATGAGAACAATATAATCGTGTGCGTGGGACGTGGCTTGTAATAGTGAGACTTTTGTTTCAGGCTTTCAAAAATTATATACAAATTTGGATTTAGATTTATTGGCCAATATATCGATTATCAGCTTTCAAATATAAAGAATTATCGGTAATCAGCCAAAATGTTCATATCGGTGCAACGCTGCTGTATATGCTCATAGAAAACAGCCATTTTACATTATAATAATATATAACTGTTTTTACTGTATTTTTACTCAAATAAACGCAGTATTGGTGACGGTTTCAAAAGCATTTCAAAATCTGAATTATTCCAAAGTTTTTGAACGTGTGTGTGTGTGTGTGTGTGTTTCTGAGGGCAGAAGCTTTATTTGGACGAGCTCCGTTTGCCTCTCGCTCCTTCGCTGAACTGGAAGAGAAGATCCGCAGTGAGAAACCCGTCGAGGTGAGACTCGTGTTTACAGATCTAGTTACAAACACTTCAGGATCAAGAACACATGTGGGCGGGGCTTGATTGTGTCTGTGGGGAGTTGATTGGATGATTGGATGGTTGTGGTTTGCTATTGGCAAGATATTCTGATTCAAGATTATTAACACAATAATGATAATCATTTAGGAATAAACACCCCAATATTCCATGAACAAATTAGATTTCGGGGTTCTCCCGTACACCTGGACTCTCTCTGTCAGCACTAGATGGCGCAGTTGTTCCAGACATTGACGTGACCTGCTCTGTGTGTGTGTGTGTGATTTATGAGGACAGATATTTGTATAATGACATGAGTATTACACTGGTATCACAACGTGAACGTGATTTATGAGGACATTTCCTGAGTCCTTGAATTTCAAATGGCTTTAATAACACACTAAACAGTGTTTTATTAAAAATGCATAAAGTTTTCTGTGATGGGCAGGTTTAGGGGTCGGGTTAGTGTGTGTGTGTGTGTGATGGGTAGGTTTAGGGGTCGGGTTAGTGTGTGTGTGTGATGGGTAGGTTTAGGGGTCGGGTTAGTGTGTGTGTGTGTGTGTGATGGGCAGGTTTAGGGGTCGGGTTAGTGTGTGTGTGTGTGTGATGGGTAGGTTTAGGGGTCGGGTTAGTGTGTGTGTGTGTGTGTGATGGGCAGGTTTAGGGGTCGGGTTAGTGTGTGTGTGTGTGTGATGGGTAGGTTTAGGGGTCGGGTTAGTGTGTGTGTGTGTGTGTGTGTGTGTGTGATGGGTAGGTTTAGGGGTCGGGTTAGTGTGTGTGTGTGTGTGTGTGTGTGATGGGCAGGTTTAGGGGTCGGGTTAGTGTGTGTGTGTGTGTGTGTGTGTGTGTGTGATGGGTAGGTTTAGGGGTCGGGTTAGTGTGTGTGTGTGTGTGTGTGTGTGTGTGTGTGTGTGTGATGGGCAGGTTTAGGGGTCGGGTTAGTGTGTGTGTGTGTGTGTGTGTGTGTGTGTGATGGGTAGGTTTAGGGGTCGGATTAGTGTGTGTGTGTGTGTGTGTGTGTGTGTGTGTGATGGGCAGGTTTAGGGGTCGGGTTAGTGTGTGTGTGTGTGATGGGCAGGTTTAGGGGTCGGGTTAGTGTGTGTGTGTGTGATGGGCAGGTTTAGGGGTCGGGTTAGTGTGTGTGTGTGTGTGTGTGATGGGCAGGTTTAGGGGTCGGGTTAGTGTGTGTGTGTGTGTGTGATGGGTAGGTTTAGGGGTCGGGTTAGTGTGTGTGTGTGTGTGTGTGTGATGGGTAGGTTTAGTGTGTGTGTGTGTGTGTGATGGGTAGGTTTAGGGGTCGGGTTAGTGTGTGTGTGTGATGGGCAGGTTTAGGGGTCGGGTTAGTGTGTGTGTGTGTGTGATGGGCAGGTTTAGGGGTCGGGTTAGTGTGTGTGTGTGTGTGTGTGTGTGTGTGATGGGCAGGTTTAGGGGTCGGGTTAGTGTGTGTGTGTGTGTGTGTGTGTGTGTGTGTGTGTGTGTGTGATGGGCAGGTTTAGGGGTCGGGTTAGTGTGTGTGTGTGTGTGATGGGCAGGTTTAGGGGTCGGGTTAGTGTGTGTGTGTGTGTGTGATGGGTAGGTTTAGGGGTCGGGTTAGTGTGTGTGTGTGTGTGATGGGCAGGTTTAGGGGTCGGGTTAGTGTGTGTGTGTGTGTGTGTGTGTGTGTGTGATGGGCAGGTTTAGGGGTCGGGTTAGTGTGTGTGTGTGTGTGTGTGTGTGTGTGTGTGTGTGTGTGTGTGTGTGTGTGATGGGCAGGTTTAGGTGTACGGTTAGTGTGTGTGATGGGTAGGTTTAGGGGTCGGGTTAGTGTGTGTGTGTGTGTGTGTGTGTGTGTGTGTGTGATGGGTAGGTTTAGGGGTCGGGTTAGTGTGTGTGTGTGTGTGTGATGGGTAGGTTTAGGGGTCGGGTTAGTGTGTGTGTGTGTGTGTGTGTGTGTGTGTGTGATGGGCAGGTTTAGGGGTCGGGTTAGTGTGTGTGTGTGTGTGTGTGTGTGTGTGTGTGTGTGTGTGTGTGTGTGTGTGTGTGATGGGCAGGTTTAGGGGTCGGGTTAGTGTGTGTGTGTGTGTGTGTGTGTGTGTGTGTGTGTGATGGGTAGGTTTAGGGGTCGGGTTAGTGTGTGTGTGTGTGTGTGTGTGTGTGTGATGGGCAGGTTTAGGTGTACGGTTAGTGTGTGTGTGTGTGTGTGTGTGTGTGTGTGTGTGTGATGGGTAGGTTTAGGGGTCGGGTTAGTGTGTGTGTGTGTGTGTGTGTGATGGGCAGGTTTAGGTGTACGGTTAGTGTGTGTGATGGGTAGGTTTAGGGGTCGGGTTATTGTGTGTGTGTGTGTGTGTGTGTGATGGGCAGGTTTAGGTGTACGGTTAGTGTGTGTGTGTGTGTGTGTGTGATGGGCAGGTTTAGGGGTCGGGTTATTGTGTGTGTGTGTGTGTGTGATGGGCAGGTTTAGGTGTACGGTTAGTGTGTGTGTGTGTGTGTGTGTGATGGGTAGGTTTAGGGGTCGGGTTAGTGTGTGTGTGTGTGTGTGTGTGATGGGCAGGTTTAGGTGTACGGTTAGTGTGTGTGATGGGCAGGTTTAGGGGTCGGGTTATTGTGTGTGTGTGTCTACATATGGAGGCGTAGGTGCCACCTTTACCCTTAAAAGTGCATAATGGACTGAGACATTGGCTGCTGTTGTACACATTTTTGTCAAATTTGGATTATGCCATGAAATATGCTTATCTTTTAATTCAAATAAAGAATTTAATCGTGTGTGTGTGTAGCTGCCGTGCGGAGCCAGAGTTTCCCGAGACTGTCGAGATCTCCTGCTCCGGCTGCTGGAGAGAGACCCGGACACACGCATCTCCTTCCACGAGTTCTTCCTTCACGCGTTCGTGGATCTGGAGCACATGCCGAGCGCCGAGAGCCTGGCGAAGGCCGTGAGTGTGTTATAACACACACACACACACAGAGTAACTCACACTAGCGCTCACATGGTTATTTTAGACCTGAAGTGGCAGAAGCGCGGCTCGCCGCTAGCATCACGCAGAGTTATATTACACAGTGTGTTTATTGAAGAGCTTGCCGTCACCGTTTCCTGATTCAATTAGATATTGATTAGAGATAAACTGGTATCGACCGATATATGTTCATTTTTAATGTTATCGTTATCGACCCAATAAGAAAATTTGGCCGATATATTAAAGCCGATAGTCATATAGTCAACATAAAGTTATAATGAGAACATTATAATCGTGTGTTTGGGTCGTGGCTTTTAATGCGGAGACTTTTGCTTTTGGAATCAGGTTCTCAAAAATTATATAAAAATTTCGCAAAATATCGGTTACCGGCTTTCAAATGTACAGGTGAAACTCGAAAAATTAGAATATGGTGCAAAAGTTCATTTATTTCAGTAATTCAACTTAAAAGGTGAAACTAATATATAATATAGACTCATTACATGCAAAGTGAGATATTTCAAGCCTTTATTTGTTATAATGTTGATGATTATGGTTCACAGCTTATGAAAACTCCCGAATATTGTGAAAAGGTTTTCATAAGCTGTAAACAATAATCATCACAATCATAACAAATAAAGGCTTGAAATATCTCACTTTGCATGTAATGAGTCTATATAATATATTAGTTTCACCTTTTAAGTTGAATTACTGAAATAAATGAACTTTTGCACGAATAATAAACAAACTTTAATTCAAATTTTGGATTGTAAGATGCATGTGCTGTGTTTGGAATCAGGCTTTCAAAAATGATATAAACATTTGGATTTTGGTGTATCGGCCAATATATCGGTTATCGGCTTCCAGATGTAAAGGATTATGGGTTGTGGATATCGGCTGAATGTTCTGTTGTCCCGCAGAAAGCGCTGGTGACGCAGGCGGTGCAGAAGGACCAGGACGGGCAGCGGGCGGCAGCGCTGTCTCTCTACTGCAGTGCACTCGAACACTTCGTTCCCGCCATTCACTGTAAGACTCGAGCGCCTCACACACGACACACACACACGACACACGTCTCAGATCTCACGGCCCTCGTCTCTGCTTTCAGACGAACCCGACCGACTGAGGAGGGAAGCACTGAGACAGAAGGTGACTCGGAGAACCCGTGAGAACCCGATGATGATGAACCGTGACTTATGTCTGTTGTGTTCTCTCAGGTGAATCAGTACGTGTCTCGAGCCGAGGAGCTCAAAGCTCTGGTCAGGTCCGACAATAAAATCAGTTTTGAGGCGGCAAAATCAACCAGGAACATATTAATAGGTAACAGACCCACACCACACGTGTCTAACCTGGGTCCGTACAAGTGCTTGAGTTTGACTTGAGAGTTGAAAACACATATTTATGAAGAGGAGCTTGAAAAGTGTCTTGAATTATTGAAATTGTATAGATTTTTTACCCTATCATTTTACGCACAATTGGCGCTTCAGCCCGTCTGAGATATAGAGATATTTCGCTCGTATATAATACAACTTTCATTCTTCAGCTCAATCATATATTAATTTCGAAAAATCAGTTTGAATAAGGAAGTATAAGGATATTAGGACAGCGCTGGTCAATGGACTGAGTGAAACATCATATAGGCCCCGTTCACACCGCAAGTCCTAATGCTCAATTCTGATTTTTTGCTCAGATCCGATTTTTTGATTGGCTGTTCACATTACCTTTTAAAATGTGACCTATATCTGATTGCAGTGTGAACTGTTTGAGGTTTCAAACTAACCGGCATGCGCAAAAGAACAATAACAATGACATCAGACGCAGCACGCGGTTGCACTAAAGTTCGGGAGGTTATGAAGGTCGGAAGTAAAGCATATTCGCATTTATTTCATAATGTTTGTGTAATGGAAACTTTTGCGGGTTTATAGTTGAAAATTCACTACAGAGATCTGTGTGGATGCGTCGACGAAGCCAGGAGTGGTGGGAATATGACGTGAATAGTTTCACTGAGACGCTGTTCTCCTGTGTCCCCGTTCTTCCATTTCGTGTGCAATTTTTTCAAAAACGGAGCGGTTACGGTAGGTCCTAGCTTGAATTGAAGTATCTCCCCATATACTACTAAGATCTAACACCTCACTCTCATTGACTCGCTTCATCGCTGTTCTCCATATCTAGTCAAGTTTTTAATGTTAGGCTACTGTCTGTGTATGTTGTGTCTAGGGCTTCGCCGGCGCATAATTGTGACAAATGTCGACGTAGATTGACGTAAAAGTCGCATCAAATCCGCCTTGATTGTTCACACTGTGGCCGCATTGAAAAAAATCAGATCTGGGTCTGATTCAGGACCACATATGTATGTGGTCTAAATCTGATTTGAAAAAATCAGATCTGGGCTAGATTTGAGTGTTCACATTACCTCTGATGAAATCTGACCTGGTCACTTGACCCCCAAAGAATCAGATTTGGGCCACTTTTGCCTGCAGTGTGAACGGGGCCTATACACTCACCTGAAGGATTATTAGGAACACCTGTTCAATTTCTCATTAATGCAATTATCTAATCAACCAATCACATGGCAGTTGCTTCAATGCATTTAGGGGTGTGGTCCTGGTCAAGACAATCTCCTGAACTCCAAACTGAATGTCAGAATGGGAACGAAAGGTGATTTAAGCAATTTTGAGCGTGGCATGGTTGTTGGTGCCAGACGGGCCGGTCTGAGTATTTCACAATCTGCTCAGTTACTGGGATTTTCACGCACGACCATTTCTTGGGTTTACAAAGAATGGTGTGAGAAGGGAAAAACATCCAGTATGCGGCAGTCCTGTGGGCGAAAATGCCTTGTTGATGCTAGAGGTCAGAGGAGAATGGGCCGACTGATTCAAGCTGATAGAAGAGCAACTTTGACTGAAATAACCACTCGTTACAACCGAGGTATGCAGCAAAGCATTTGTGAAGCCACAACACGCACAACCTTGAGGCGGATGGGCTACAACAGCAGAAGACTCCACCGGGTACCACTCATCTCCACTACAAATAGGAAAAAGAGGCTACAATTTGCAAGAGCTCACCAAAATTGGACAGTTGAAGACTGGAAAAATGTTGCCTGGTCTGATGAGTCTCGATTTCTGTTGAGACATTCAGATGGTAGAGTCAGAATTTGGCGTAAACAGAATGAGAACATGGATCCATAATGCCTTGTTACCACTGTGCAGGCTGGTGGTGGTGGTGTAATGGTGTGGGGGATGTTTTCTTGGCACACTTTAGGCCCCTTAGTGCCAATTGGGCATCGTTTAAATGCCACGGCCTACCTGAGCATTGTTTCTGACCATGTCCATCCCTTTATGGCCACCATGTCCCCATCCTCTGATGGCTACTTCCAGCAGGATAATGCACCATGTCACAAAGCTCGAATCATTTCAAATTGGTTTCTTGAACATGACAATGAGTTCACTGTACTAAAATGGCCCCCACAGTCACCAGATCTCAACCCAATAGAGCATCTTTGGGATGTGGTGGAACGGGAGCTTCGTGCCCTGGATGTGCATCCCACAAATCTCCATCAACTGCAAGATGCTATCCTATCAATATGGGCCAACATTTCTAAAGAATGCTTTCAGCACCTTGTTGAATCAATGCCACGTAGAATTAAGGCAGTTCTGAAGGCGAAAGGGGGTCAAACACAGTATTAGTATGGTGTTCCTAATAATTCTTTAGGTGAGTGTATATAAATGATAAAGATATTGTTTGATAAGTGCTGATTGTAGTCTGTCTGCCATCATGAACCAGCGTGATTCTGTTAACTCCTCAGAGCTGTGCCGAGATCAGCCGCGCGTGCGGAGCGCTCTGGAGGCGGCGTCCAGCGCTGTGTCCCGGGTGAGTGTCATAGCGACTCATTCATACTAATATATCATATATCTAATATATCATTTATACTAAATAATGCTAATTTTACATTTTAAATGTCATAATCATTTGTTAACAAACTAGTATTAATATTTTCAATGAGCTCTTTGTTTCTGCCTTAAATTATTACATTGTTTAAATTAATAAGTTTGAGCTAACTGTGATTTTGTACATTTCTGAAATGCATAACTTAGACAGTCTCGTCTGATCACAGATCAGTGTACACTGTAAAGCTGCTGTGAAATGATGTGTGTTGTGAAAAGCGCTATACAAATAAATAAATGTGAATTGAATTTACATGTGTCATGTGAGCTGCAGTGTTGCATGATGGGTAATGGAGTAGCGATGGGCTGTGTGTGCAGGAGGAGAGCGGAGCCGAGGACTACGACACTCTTGATTTATACCAGCAGAGTTTGGGCGAACTACTCTTGGCACTGGCAGGTAAAGTCATACACACACACACACACACACACCCCAGTCCAGATGTGGCGATGAGTGTGTGCCAGGACGGCGTGTGTGGTACGATCTCTGCCATCTGGATCTCATTGAGATCAGCTCTCAGTGTTATTAAATACTGAAACAAATGAAAGCTGTTATCTCTAAAGCACTGGAGGCTTGAGGATGAAGTGAGCTCAGAGAACGAGACTCGCTACGCTCCCGCCGCTAATGCCAGCGCTAGGCTAATCCAAACACAGACGCTCCAGGGCTCCATGTGCCAGGGCATAATAAGCCTGCTTGTGAACCGCTCCTTCATTACTCAGTGTTTACACCCAGGACGATAACGATAACGATCTAATAATCGTTCTCAGTAATAAAGATTGGCAGAGTTCACACCACGGCTATAACGATAACTGTATAGAGAAACGATATCGTTAGGATCACTTTCAGAACGATTTTTTTCCGGCTGTTGAACGATAAAACACTGACAGCCAATCAGAATCGATTCTAATTGAACGGCTCGTGCGTTTAAAACGGCGGACGAGATTGTGGAGACGTTAATCGCCGAGGTCCTGAAAAACCCGCCAGTGTTTGACAAGTCACGCCCCTTTTCAGGAAAACGGATGTGGAAAACAATCGTTCTAAACTAAACGGCATTTTTGTCAAAACACTATGACTAAAACTAAATCAAAATTTGCTGTCAAAATTAACTCTGGAATTTTACTAGATTCATCAGAACATTTTTGAGTAATGTACAAACGAAGAGCACGCCAAAATGAACGAGAGGCTATATCTCCGCAACGCTTTAGCGTATTCTGACCAAACTTGGTGTGTGTTTTAACATCCATGACCTGAGGCGACCTGCACAGTTTCGGCACAGTGCCACCTAGTGGTCAGGAGATACGAACATTTTTGTCTAAATCTTCTGAACGGTTTGGCCAAAAATCCCTCAGATTCGGACTAATACCCAATTATCCCATTCCAGCCATTGCGAATTTTGTCTTATATTGGCGTATCATAACGAAATTCAGTATGTGTCTTCGGCTCCATGACCTTTACAGTACTGTAAAAGTGTCCTTTGACCCTGTGCTCAAAAGTTATAATGAAATTTCCAAAAATGTGAATAACTTTTGATGAAATTAGCCGATTGTTATGAAACTCGTCTTAATATATTCCTTGGGTCGTGCGAGAATATGGATACCAATTTTGCCATAGTCGGCCAAACTTCCTGTTTTCTTTAAGAACCTACTTTTTCAAACTTCTCCCTAGACTGTTTGTTCGATTGTCATAAAATTTTTTCGTTTGATTTTCATTAAATTCGAGTCAGATCATCGTCAGACGACGCCGGCAAAAAGTTATGGTTTTCGTGTTGATAGAAGAAGCCGTTTTGTACACCGCATCAACAAAGTTGACGGCATGATGCCAAAACGACGGCATCTCTACAATGCTTTGGCATATTGACACCAAACTTTGAGTCATTGTCACCTGACTCTGACCACACCACGTCAGTTTAGTCACAGCGCCGCCTGTTGGTCGGGAATGATAAACTATTAAATCATTACTAGTGACTATATTCATGATTTTTCAGGCAATGTGCCTAAACTCATCTTAATATGTCTTTGATTACTCACTGTTGCAGCTATATTGGTGGTTGTGTTGTGCTTTATGATAAGCTTTAGTGTGTCTCTGTCTGTCTCTCTGTCTCCAGCTGAAGCCCAGGGCCGGCGCAGAGAACTGCTCCACAGCGAGGTGAGAGGATCAGTGTTTACCAGTGTTTATTCTGGACCCCATACGGCTCTCATCAGCTCGAGACCAGCGCTCGCACGCGTCATACACATCGAGAAGAGCGCATTTAGGCCACGCCCACACGCCTTTAGGTCACACCCACATATATTTAGGCCACGCCCACACACCTTTAGACCACACCCACATACATTTAGGCCACGCCCACATCTTTAGGCCACACCCACATACATTTAGGCCACGCCGGGGAGGGAACACGAGCGTTTAACGAGCGTTTAAGGACACAGAAGTGGACACTTTAAACTGAGTCATATTACTCTGAGAACTAGCATAATAATAGCTTAGCTTACAATATATAAAACTGAGATTTGGATATGTGACTTACCAGTGAGTAATTGTTTACTGCACATGTAGAGTAGTTCTAGTGCGTACTGAGAGTCAGGATCCCACAGTTGACCCACTCGCTCCAGCCGGTGTCCACTTCTGTGTCCTGAAACGCTCGTGTTTCGGGCTCGACGGCTTATTAAACGTTTAAATATTTAATCCGTTCACCTACGTGAGCATTAGCCGACATCAGAGAGCCTTGAAACACATGAATGTAATGTTAAATTATTGAAATATTAAAATGTATAATCTCAGAATGACTGTAATTTATAAAAACTACACAAATAGCTGAAGATCTCCAACAACTGTCCGATGTTGCAATGCAGTTGCTCAGTATTTTTTTGCACTTTGATATATGGTTGCTAGGTTATTGTTGGTGGTTGCTAGGGTGTCTGTGATTGATGACGATCTTCTGTCTGTGATTGGAGGAGTTGTGCATCAGCTGGAGAGTAACACATGTTCACGGATCTCTGATGCCGGTTAATGCTTGTTTAGGCCACGCCCACATGTGTTAAACCACGCCCACATGTGTTAGGCCACGCCCACACCGGGGGATCCCACCGTCTCCATTGACTCCATCCACTTCTGTGTCCTGAAACGCTCGTGTTTCGGGCTCGACGGCTTATTAATCGTATCTCTGGGTGTTTATCTTGTGTGCTGTACACCGTCACACCGCAGCTTTCACACAGGGTTTTGTTCTTTGTTATAAGTCATAAATGACGAGGAGGCAGCTTCACACAACACAGTCAATGGAGACGGTGGGATTGGGTCCCCCCGGTGTGGGCGTGGCCTAAATGTGTGTGGGCGTGGCTTCAGATTATGACTCCCTCCATATCTGAGCTTCTTAAAGACACGGAGCCGGTCAGGAGCCGGTTACTCTGCGGTCAGAAGTGTAACGCAAGACTAATGCATGTTCACTGCCAGCTCCGCCCTAATGAGTGTGTGTATAACAGGATGAGTGTGTGTATAACAGGATGAGTGTGTGTATAACAGGGTGAGTGTGTGTATAACAGGATGAGTGTGTGTATAACAGGATGAGTGTGTGTATAACAGAAGGAGTGTGTGTATAACAGGGTGAGTGTGTGTATAACAGGATGAGTGTGTGTATAACAGGATGAGTGTGTGTATAACAGAAGGAGTGTGTGTATAACAGGGTGAGTGTGTGTATAACAGGATGAGTGTGTGTATAACAGGATGAGTGTGTGTATAACAGGATGAGTGTGTGTATAACAGGATGAGTGTGTGTATAACAGGATGAGTGTGTGTATAACAGGATGAGTGTGTGTATAACAGAAGGAGTGTGTGTATAACAGGGTGAGTGTGTGTATAACAGGATGAGTGTGTGTATAACAGGACGAGTGTGTGTATAACAGGATGAGTGTGTGTATAACAGGATGAGTGTGTGTATAACAGGATGAGTGTGTGTATAACAGGATGAGTGTGTGTATAACAGGATGAGTGTGTGTAAAACAGGATGAGTGTGTGTATAACAGAAGGAGTGTGTGTATAACAGGGTGAGTGTGTGTATAACAGGATGAGTGTGTGTATAACAGAAGGAGTGTGTGTATAACAGGATGAGTGTGTGTATAACAGGATGAGTGTGTGTATAACAGAAGGAGTGTGTGTATAACAGGGTGAGTGTGTGTATAACAGGATGAGTGTGTGTATAACAGGATGAGTGTGTGTATAACAGGATGAGTGTGTGTATAACAGAAGGAGTGTGTGTATAACAGGGTGAGTGTGTGTATAACAGGATGAGTGTGTGTATAACAGGATGAGTGTGTGTATAACAGGATGAGTGTGTGTATAACAGGATGAGTGTGTGTATAACAGAAGGAGTGTGTGTATAACAGGGTGAGTGTGTGTATAACAGGATGAGTGTGTGTATAACAGGATGAGTGTGTGTATAACAGGATGAGTGTGTGTATAACAGGATGAGTGTGTGTATAACAGGGTGAGTGTGTGTATAACAGGATGAGTGTGTGTATAACAGGATGAGTGTGTGTATAACAGGATGAGTGTGTGTATAACAGGATGAGTGTGTGTATAACAGGATGAGTGTGTGTATAACAGGATGAGTGTGTGTATAACAGGATGAGTGTGTGTATAACAGGATGAGTGTGTGTATAACAGGGTGAGTGTGTGGATGAGTGTGTGTATAACAGGATGAGTGTGTGTATAACAGAAGGAGTGTGTGTATAACAGGGTGAGTGTGTGTATAACAGGATGAGTGTGTGTATAACAGAAGGAGTGTGTGTATAACAGGGTGAGTGTGTGTATAACAGGATGAGTGTGTGTATAACAGGATGAGTGTGTGTATAACAGGATGAGTGTGTGTATAACAGAAGGAGTGTGTGTATAACAGGGTGAGTGTGTGTATAACAGGATGAGTGTGTGTATAACAGAAGGAGTGTGTGTATAACAGGATGAGTGTGTGTATAACAGAAGGTGTTGAGGCTATCCTATAGGCCTCGGCATAGATGGCATGGTGTTCTCAACGCGTAGCAGATAAATCCTGAGTCCAAACATTTGCTCTCTTTGGGTGGTGTTCCCGTTTATTATAAAAGTACAAAAGGAATAGTTTACATTAAAATGGTACTTCACCCAGTGCTAAATAATAAAGTGCTGTCGTGCTGTTGGTATTGGGTGCTCACGGCTACGGTAAGAACCGTATGTTCCTCGCCATCCACACCTTTTCCTAACTAATTGCCACACCTGTAAATATACCAAATTCCTAGTGATGCGTCACACCCAGTGCAACACTCCCACCAAGTGGCTAGAGTAAGTAATAGCAATCCTAACCTATCCAGAAAAGGTGAAGGTATAAATGGCTCCTACACCCCGGCCCCATAATTGTGAATATTTACTTTAACCACAATTACCCAAATTACCTATTTTAACTTAAGGAGTCATTTATTTTGCAATGCTAATCTAAGTGAAATCATCTTCTCTTGAGTTTAGGACATCTGTGGTCAGATCATCTAGTCAGGACCTCATCTGTGACACTTCGACTTCCATCAAAAGGCAGATCTTCATTACAGGCCGTTCCAGCTGACCCGTTTTTGGTTTCAGCAGCACTGAGCGGACGAAGCCTTTCTTGTCAGGGTACGTCGGTGTAATTTTTTTTTTCCATCTGCCAGGACCCTTGTTGAGCGACAGGATCCATTATGACCACAATGTCTCCAACAGAAAAGCTTCTTTTTGGTCTCATCCACTTCTGCAGCATTATTTGATTCTAGAAGACCCTCTAGCTCCATTATATGATTCAACAACCCAGTTTTCTCTCCCTCTTCAGTTTGCCCTTCTCCAGCAGGTTTCAGCCTTTCTGACTGAGCCTCGAGATCCCTATCGCATTTCTGCACCTGAGTGGACTGTGCGCTCTTCTCGTTCTCCACTCTACTCACTTCCTGTAGCTCCTGCTTGACCAATGAAAGTTCTGCCCACTGAGGCTCTGTTTTTGCTGATACCAGCTGGTCCTGAGTTTCTGACAACGATGCCTTCAGCTGAGACATTTCTTCTGCATACGTCTGACTGATGGTTATGGATTCCAGTTGTTTCTCCAGCTGGGCTTCCAAAGGCATCACCTGGCCCTTTAGCTGATTGGTGTCCTGTCTTTCCACATTTATCGTCTCCTCCAGGACCTTCACCAGTTCCAGAGCCGTCTGTTTTTGCCTCTCGACATCTAAAACCTTTGACTTCCACGTGAGCTCGCCATCCTCCACACTACTCTGCAGTACTTTCAGCGTGCTCTCCATTTCACTAAGAGTTGATCTGTACTGCTCACACTCGGCCTGAAGTAACCTCTGTCTCTCTTCCGATAGGATGAGTTTCTGCAGCAGATCCGTCACATCTGAGCTGGACATTATGTGCTGCTGTTCTGCTGGACTCTGCTGATTTTCTTTAAGGTTCTTCTGTTCTTCATGTGTGAATGCTTCCAGCCAGTTTGTCTGATGCATTTCTATGTTGAGGTGAGGGAACAGCATCTGGAAAGCTTTTCTGGTGTCTGTCTGGAAAGAGCTCAGCTGCTGCTCAACTTCACCCTGTGCGGCCTTGGCCTGGCTCAATCTTTCTTCACTCAGCCTCACAGTAGCAGATAGAGCTTCCACTGTGGCATAGTTTTTACCTTGCAGTTCGTTGCTCTGGGCCTTTACTCGCTTCATCTCTTCTTTAAGCTGTTGAAGTTCCTCCTCCAGCGAGATCATGCGTGTGTCCTTTCCCAGATTCTCAAACGGCGGTTCAGCTTCAACAGTATCAGCACTTTCCATCTTCTCCAGCTGAGCCTGTAGAGATGCCACAGAATCTTCTGTTTCTTCCCTGACACTCTCAAGTTCATAAATTTGCTCTTTTAGCTTTGGGACTGAGATCCTATTGGCAGTGACAGCAGGACGGCCCATCTTGCCTTTACGCGGCTCACCACCTCTCAGCGAACCATTCACAACCCACCCCAGTAGAGTCCTGACAGCATATGGTCCTTCACCTTGGCTATTTATTATTTCCCGTGGTTCCATGAGCTTCGGTGCATTGGTGCCTATCAGCAATTCCACCTCTGCCTCAAAACTGGGAACTGTAATGCCTTCGAGGTATTTCCATCCCTCTAGGTCCTGTTGAGTAAGAATGTTATTTCTACTCACAGGCATGGTCCTCTGAGTGTAGACTTCAGGTAAGTCCAGGAAGTTTTCTCCATTCAAGCCAGAAACCTCCAGACCACTAAGCAAGATTGTGTCTACAGACCTCTCTTGGCCAAGAGTACAAAGAAGAATGCTAGTCTTGACTCCTGAAAGGTTCAGTTTTCTCATGAGATGTTGAGTACAGAAAGAAGCTGAACTCCCCGGGTCTAGAAAGGCATAGGTGTTCATTATTGTGCTCCCGGACTTGGCCTTCACCTGTACAGGCACAATAGCGAGAACACATTCATCACTTCCGGCCCCAGTATGGCCACATGTCTCCAATGACACAGATGCATTATTGACTGACACTTCCTGTGTTTTAGATTCAATGTGTAGGACAGTTGGATGTTTGTGTTTACATATATCACATGTCAAAGGCTTGTCACATTCCCTGCTCATATGACCTCTCCTCAGACAGCTGAAACACACTCTGCCTACTTTCAAAGCCTCCAATTTCTCCCTGTGCGTCATCTCATCGAGCTGTGAACACTTCTCCACTGAATGCTGACTCTTACACACACAGCATGACCCTTCGACATTCCTTTGTGAAACTGGCCCTCTGCGCTGTTGGTACCAAGCTGCTGATGTGGGTGATCCTGAGGCAGTATTGATGGCAGCAACAGTAGCTTGGCCTCTTCCAGTGTGTCTACTCTTGGGGTTAGAGGAAAGGTCTGGTGGCATACCCTGTAGGTCACCAAAGAGAGGATCAGACAGAATCTTTATCTGACGCTCAATGAAGACCACAAAGTCTGGGAACATAGCTCTGTAACCACGGCGCTCCTGTAGCTCCCAGGCGACAGACCTCCATTTTTCTCTCAGTTTATATGGCAACTTCATCATTATCAGGCGAAGATTGGATGGCACATTCAACTCCTCCATATGCTGCAAATCTTCCATGACATTACAACAATCCCTTAAAAAGATTGAAAAAGACTGCAGAGCATCAATGTCATCAACCCTCATTGTAGACCACGTCATAGCCTTCTCCATATAAGCTACAGCAATTTTCGTTTCGTTTCCAAAATGTTCTTTTAATAGATTCTTTGCTCTCTCATAGCCCTGCCCAAGAGCCATGTTATAGCAACTCCGAACCAGTTCTCTTGGCTGCCCTCTGGTATATTGCTCAAGGTAATAAAGACATTCTTGTTTATTTGTAGTTTTCCTTTCAATAGCTTGCTCGAAAGCTCTAATAAAAGCAGCATATTTAAGTGGATCACCATCAAACTCTGGGATAGTTCGTGGCGGAAGAGAGGCTAAGGCTTGATTCTGAACCAGCTGAGCAGTGATGTTAGTTTGCTGTTGCATAAGGTCATACAGAGTAGGATGTTGAACATTATCAAGAGAGCAATGATGATGCGACTGTGATTGCATACGTATACTCCCTTGTGTGGTCAGTGGCGAAAATCCTGTGGTCAAAGCCTTGGTAAATCTGGATCCATTTCCCTGTACATCCGACTCATGCATGTGGGTAGGCCGACTCCTATGTGAGATCGACGGCTGAGGTCCGGCTGGTGCAACATTAGTAGGTCTGGTTCCAAGGACATTCCCCTGCACTTCAGACCTGTGAGAAGATGGTGCATAGGACACTGAAGGAAAAGGATTATCAGACCTTAATAAAGACTGGGCTTGTGAAATGTGCAGCCTTCCTTTAGGCCGTACAGCCAATGGCAGAGAATGGTCCTGTTGGAAAGAGACAGTTTTAGGAAGTTGCAAGACAGGAGCGGTGTTCAAACAACTTGATGTTTGTGATTTCAAATGAGCATGAAGATAGGCATTCATGGCATCCTCTCCATTATCCTCCACATCCTCACCACCACACACATTTTCAAACACAGACAATCTAGCTGTAGCAACAGCCAACTTGGCCTCAACCTCTAGCTGTTCCCTTTTCCTTTTCAGCTTTGCTTTTTCTATTTGAAGGGCTTCTTCTTCAGCATCAATATCATGCATTTTTCTCAAAGCAGCTGCAGATTGTAAAAGTGCAGCCCTTTCAGCCTTTGCCTCTAAACATGCAGAAATAATACTGGAAGCCTTTGAAAGGACAGAAGAGTGATCTGTATGTTTTACCCCTTTACTTGAAACATTGGATATACTATCTTCAGGTCTTATGTCAGAATTTATTTTAGACAGCACATCAAGATTCTCATCATCATTTTTTGCATCAGCATCGGCCAACCAGTTCTTTACATCATTCTCAAATGTATTAATTTCCTCTGTTTTCTGTGCAAGCCAACGTTGTTGTTGGTCATGTTCAGAATCTGGCATAGGCATTTCCAGCAAAGTAGTTTGAGTTTCTAAAGCCTCATTGCACAACGTGGTATATTTGTTTAGACATTTCTTCACATCAAACACAGTTTGAGATGTTCTGTTCCCAGAAAGAACCTCATTAATCCTCTGCTTAATTTTATTAGCTTGCATAAGTTGGGATTTCCGATTTTTTTGCAGATTTTCGTACAACATTGTAAATCCCTTAGCTGTTAATTTTCTTATGCGTTTCCCCGAGTCATCAACAGCAACACTAGGCTTATCAGAAATATAATTTTCGTCTGTAGCCACAGAAGCAATGTTGGCTCTATCGAGCAAGGTTTCTTCCTCTCCAATCATCTTTATGCACTAAGCACGTCAAGTTCAAAGCACTCAATGAAAACAGCACAATTAACTTTACTTATGCAGAGGCAACCAACAGCACGCACAACACAGCACTTTCAATTTTACGAAGCAACAACACTGAAACAGTCTTTCATTTCAATTTCGAGAGTCCACCTTTTTTCCAATTCCATCAGCAAAAATATATGAAAGTGTACCCACCAGCTTTCCGTGATTGCGATCTGCGTGAGAACTTACAAGTGTTTCAATGATGACTTCCAAGCTTCGCAACAGGTAAGCAATCCAATGAGATGGGCAATCATTTCAATATCCAAACAGTACTCCTGTCCAGTTCAGAAGCGTATCCAAAACAGAAAGGAATCGGTTCTTACTGTGTTGAGGCTATCCTATAGGCCTCGGCATAGATGGCATGGTGTTCTCAACGCGTAGCAGATAAATCCTGAGTCCAAACATTTGCTCTCTTTGGGTGGTGTTCCCGTTTATTATAAAAGTACAAAAGGAATAGTTTACATTAAAATGGTACTTCACCCAGTGCTAAATAATAAAGTGCTGTCGTGCTGTTGGTATTGGGTGCTCACGGCTACGGTAAGAACCGTATGTTCCTCGCCATCCACACCTTTTCCTAACTAATTGCCACACCTGTAAATATACCAAATTCCTAGTGATGCGTCACACCCAGTGCAACACTCCCACCAAGTGGCTAGAGTAAGTAATAGCAATCCTAACCTATCCAGAAAAGGTGAAGGTATAAATGGCTCCTACAGAAGGAGTGTGTGTATAACAGGATGAGTGTGTGTATAACAGGATGAGTGTGTGTATAACAGAAGGAGTGTGTGTATAACAGGATGAGTGTGTGTATAACAGGATGAGTGTGTGTATAACAGAAGGAGTGTGTGTATAACAGGATGAGTGTGTGTATAACAGGATGAGTGTGTGTATAACAGGATGAGTGTGTGTATAACAGGATGAGTGTGTGTATAACAGGATGAGTGTGTGTATAACAGGATGAGTGTGTGTAAAACAGGATGAGTGTGTGTATAACAGGATGAGTGTGTGTATAACAGGATGAGTGTGTGTATAACAGGATGAGTGTGTGTATAACAGGATGAGTGTGTGTATAACAGGATGAGTGTGTGTATAACAGGATGAGTGTGTGTATAACAGGATGAGTGTGTGTAAAACAGGATGAGTGTGTGTAAAACAGGATGAGTGTGTGTATAACAGGATGAGTGTGTGTATAACAGAAGGAGTGTGTGTATAACAGGATGAGTGTGTGTATAACAGGATGAGTGTGTGTATAACAGGATGAGTGTGTGTATAACAGGATGAGTGTGTGTATAACAGAAGGAGTGTGTGTATAACAGGACGAGTGTGTGTATAACAGGACGAGTGTGTGTATAACAGGATGAGTGTGTGTATAACAGGATGAGTGTGTGTATAACAGGATGAGTGTGTGTATAACAGGATGAGTGTGTGTATAACAGGATGAGTGTGTGTATAACAGGATGAGTGTGTGTATAACAGAAGGAGTGTGTGTATAACAGGGTGAGTGTGTGTATAACAGGATGAGTGTGTGTATAACAGGACGAGTGTGTGTATAACAGGATGAGTGTGTGTATAACAGGATGAGTGTGTGTATAACAGGATGAGTGTGTGTATAACAGGATGAGTGTGTGTATAACAGGATGAGTGTGTGTAAAACAGGATGAGTGTGTGTATAACAGAAGGAGTGTGTGTATAACAGGGTGAGTGTGTGTATAACAGGATGAGTGTGTGTATAACAGAAGGAGTGTGTGTATAACAGGATGAGTGTGTGTATAACAGGATGAGTGTGTGTATAACAGAAGGAGTGTGTGTATAACAGGGTGAGTGTGTGTATAACAGGATGAGTGTGTGTATAACAGGATGAGTGTGTGTATAACAGGATGAGTGTGTGTATAACAGAAGGAGTGTGTGTATAACAGGGTGAGTGTGTGTATAACAGGATGAGTGTGTGTATAACAGGATGAGTGTGTGTATAACAGGATGAGTGTGTGTATAACAGGATGAGTGTGTGTATAACAGAAGGAGTGTGTGTATAACAGGGTGAGTGTGTGTATAACAGGATGAGTGTGTGTATAACAGGATGAGTGTGTGTATAACAGGATGAGTGTGTGTATAACAGGATGAGTGTGTGTATAACAGGGTGAGTGTGTGTATAACAGGATGAGTGTGTGTATAACAGGATGAGTGTGTGTATAACAGGATGAGTGTGTGTATAACAGGATGAGTGTGTGTATAACAGGATGAGTGTGTGTATAACAGGATGAGTGTGTGTATAACAGGATGAGTGTGTGTATAACAGGATGAGTGTGTGTATAACAGGGTGAGTGTGTGGATGAGTGTGTGTATAACAGGATGAGTGTGTGTATAACAGAAGGAGTGTGTGTATAACAGGGTGAGTGTGTGTATAACAGGATGAGTGTGTGTATAACAGAAGGAGTGTGTGTATAACAGGGTGAGTGTGTGTATAACAGGATGAGTGTGTGTATAACAGGATGAGTGTGTGTATAACAGGATGAGTGTGTGTATAACAGAAGGAGTGTGTGTATAACAGGGTGAGTGTGTGTATAACAGGATGAGTGTGTGTATAACAGAAGGAGTGTGTGTATAACAGGATGAGTGTGTGTATAACAGAAGGAGTGTGTGTATAACAGGATGAGTGTGTGTATAACAGGATGAGTGTGTGTATAACAGAAGGAGTGTGTGTATAACAGGATGAGTGTGTGTATAACAGGATGAGTGTGTGTATAACAGAAGGAGTGTGTGTATAACAGGATGAGTGTGTGTATAACAGGATGAGTGTGTGTATAACAGGATGAGTGTGTGTATAACAGGATGAGTGTGTGTATAACAGGATGAGTGTGTGTATAACAGGATGAGTGTGTGTAAAACAGGATGAGTGTGTGTATAACAGGATGAGTGTGTGTATAACAGGATGAGTGTGTGTATAACAGGATGAGTGTGTGTATAACAGGATGAGTGTGTGTATAACAGGATGAGTGTGTGTATAACAGGATGAGTGTGTGTATAACAGGATGAGTGTGTGTAAAACAGGATGAGTGTGTGTAAAACAGGATGAGTGTGTGTATAACAGGATGAGTGTGTGTATAACAGAAGGAGTGTGTGTATAACAGGATGAGTGTGTGTATAACAGGATGAGTGTGTGTATAACAGGATGAGTGTGTGTATAACAGGATGAGTGTGTGTATAACAGAAGGAGTGTGTGTATAACAGGACGAGTGTGTGTATAACAGGACGAGTGTGTGTATAACAGGACGAGTGTGTGTATAACAGAAGGAGTGTGTGTATAACAGGGTGAGTGTGTGTATAACAGGATGAGTGTGTGTATAACAGGATGAGTGTGTGTATAACAGAAGGAGTGTG